TCTTTAAACTCGGTCGTGGGGCAAGATGGCGGCCGATTTTCCGTATTTTGACTGGGCATAGAAAATTGAAGATTTGAGCAAATAAAAAAATTTTTGTGCAGAAATACTCAAAAAAATAAGCTTACTTCGTTAAGCGAAAAAAATTTTTTGAGTGTAGGTGCACTTTAAGATTGATTACAATACAGTTCTGTTTGAAGATGTTCTCTCTTTGGATGCTAAAAACTAAAAAGTAACATCCTAAGAGATAACATCTTGAAACAGAACTGTAATGTAATTGATTTTCAACCTTTTCAAGTCACCATTACTTATTATTACCCCTTCGTAAATCGAGCACTGTTTTTTAGTTTGACGAAATCTCACAAACATATTTTATATATATATCTATATATTATATGCCAAACATATTTTATATAGATCTATATATAAATGCCAGAATGCATATATATGCCAGTAATTGGTAGAGTGCTCAATTTATTTAGGTAATCACATGATTTCGAGTGCAATTTGCAATAAATAAGTACGAGTAAATTTTTTTAGGACATGAAAGCAAAGGACTAGGATGGGTCATGTCATCCAATTGTGCAATGCTCACTAGTTACAAGTTTGAGCACTCTGGCATGGCCTAGATGATACCACAAATGTGGAATCTTTTAGGGTGACAATATGGCTTTACCTCCATCCTAGGATCAGCACTACACTAATGAGGCCTAGAAGGCTGAAACAGTACTGTTTGCATTTTCCAACGCTATATTTTTCTCATACACATCTATCTACACATATATGTATTTGCTTGTAATGATTATCATTATGCCAAAAGATCATTTTAAAATGTTTATGGTGTTTAAACAGAACACTGTCAAAGGCTCAGGAGCTTGAGAGTCAAGTGAGAAACAGACAAATAGAGAAGGAATACATTTGTAGAGTGCAAGGAGAATTTCCAAGGTGATGTGTTTTCTCTTTTAATGAGGGGTAGCCTGCAGTGCAGGCAGTTTTGCAGCGCTCTAAGCTCAATTTTTCAAAAATTCGCCGTTTGGCGACCTTCAATTGTAAAATGGTCGCCATAAAAAAAATTTAGTCGCCCCCCTCCCCCCCCCCCTCAAAAAAAAAACAGACGGGGAGGACACTTCAGGGTATATTACACGATTCCCTAATGCACCGAACGGCACGTTTTATCACTTAGGTTTGCTACTATAAGAGAAAGAAAAGGAAGAGACAGTCTGGTAGCAAAAACGATTTATTTCAACATTACAAAGCTGCTGAGACCGTGCAACATTGCCAATTTCCCCTTCAAATTGATCGAATTTGCCATTTTTTTTACGCAGTCGAGTTTCTGAACGACGAGAGGCGAAAAGAGAAACGCAGGTGATGCCACCGCTTGTACTATTGATTAAATTCGTCCTATTGTTGATAATTTTTCAAGTAAGTTTCTCTTTTAATCTGTTGGTCGCCAATTGGCGACTTTCGCCAGAATTTTAGTCGCCAATTATTTTTTTCACTCGCCATGGCCATGGCGACCAAAATGGTCGCAGCTTAGAGCGCTGTTTTGGTGGTTTTCATCACAGGGAGCCCAGATAAGCGACGAGTCTGGTTGTTTATTCGAAATATAAAGGAATGTATGGGAGAATATTGAAGAGTCTTATTATCATGAAATGTCTGAGTTACTATACGTTATAAAGTATAGTAACAGTCGACGCAAAACCCACCAAATCGCTCAAATTCGCCATTTAGAGCCACGGAAACGACAATACACAGCAAGTGAGGTAGGGTTACATTTATTTTGAGCTTTAACTCAGACATTTCATGATATAAGTTTACGATAATAAGACTCTTCAATATTCTCCCATACATTCCTTCATATTTCGAACAAACAACCAGACTCGTCGCTTGTCTGGGTACCCTGTGGTTTTCATCTTTCGAGTGTTTAGCCGCCATGTTGGATTCGCTGCAGACCGGGAGAATTGGGGCGAGAATGCGAGAATGTCGGAGTGGGTGGGGGGACGGGGAAGATAAACCGCCGGATTTCTCTTTCCCCTCCCCCCTTTCCCCTTCCCCAGTTTTACTCTCTCCCTCTCACTAGCTTGGTAAACTTTTTACCTCGCCCTAACTCTCCACTGTTTTTCTAATTCAAGATGGCGGCCTGAACAACCGATTTATCCACTCGCCCGCCAAAATCCGCCTGCACTGCAGGCTAAATGAGGGGAGGCATTGTTTGATACAAGACCTAGTGTTGTACACATTTATATGGAACTGCATCTTCAACCAAAAGGAGAATTATGCTTTAGTCAAAGTGGTGGCATCCAAAGTTAAATTTAAAGACGATTTTCTTATGGCCTGGACACACTTTGTAGAGGTAATCACATGATTTCGAGTGCAATTTGGAGTAAGTAAGCACGAGTAAATTTTTTCAAAGAC